ACCTGCAGCCCCAAGCCCCACCACCACGGTACTGGGTCTTCTGGGGGCTGGATAGGAGACACAAACATACACAGCACCCAGCAGCCCCAAACACCACCATGGCAGTGTTGGGGCTGCTGGGAACTGGATCAAGGACACAAACCTGCAGGCCTGGCACCCCACAGCCCCACACCTCACCATGGCAGCACTGGGGCTGCTGGTGGCTGTATCAGAGACATAAACCCACAGTCTGGGCACCCAACAGCCCCAAGCCCCACCATGGCAATTCTAGAACTGCAGGATGGATCAGAGACACAAACCTGCAGGCCTGGCACCAAGCAGCCTGAAGCTCCCGTCTAGGGGACCTATGACATTTAAACTCCTTTTGGGGGTTCCGATTTTAGGCATATCAGGAGACTTTAGTGAAAGCCTCTGCATGCATTTGCTGTTTTTCAAGCATCTGCAGCTCAGGATGATCAATATAACAACACAGCATATGCTGGGGTGGCATGTTCTCTGACCTTCAGAATAATCCCCCAAAAAGCTTGTTTCCTCTCTTAGATGATTTGCAGTATGAATAACAGTAGTGTTATTCCCTGGAGACGGTATTCTGACCACACCTTCCTGGGAGTGATCATAATATACCCTGTGCTTATAGAAATGTGTGGGCCACACCACTAAATAAACCAGTGAGGAGGTGCCAGCAAACCAGGCACAGTTGAGACACTAGGAAGAAAGGAAGTGCCGGCCCCCCACCTCCTACAAGCTACTGGAACCACCCCCAACACAGTCTAACCCAACCATCTCAATCAAGATCAGGATACCCCTGCAGATTCCACTCTGGTGGGGAGTTAGGGGGAGAACAGAGACACTCAAGATGTGAAACTTGAGACAGACACAGCTTCTGCTGGACTACTGGAGGCTTCATCCTATCAGGCCTCAATCAGGTAGGTTGCCAAGGGAAAGAAAGGGATTGGTCTGCACCAGAAAATCTCTTAGGTGGCCCAAGATAGACATACTAAGGGACCAGATTCAACAGCAGAGCAAAATCCAGTGAGCTCCAAAAAAGAGCAGACCCAAAGGTGGTGGGGGTTTTTTGTTTGTTTGTTTGTTGTTGTTTTTTGTTTGTTTGTTTTTGTGTGTGTGTATGTGTGTGTCTTTGTTTTTGTTGTTTGTTTATTTTCCCCATTTTCTTCTCTTTTTTCTTGTGTATCTCTAATGTCTCTCTTTTTTATTCTATTATCTTTTTATATTTTATTATTTTTATTAATTTTTATTTCATTTTCTCCTTTTTTATTTTACTTTTCCTATTTATATCTTAATATATCTATTATTACTATGATTTAAATTCATTATATATATTTTTAAATTTCTGTTTCCTTTTCTTTTTTATTATTATACTCACTAGAGGCCCAGAGCACAAAATTTGTGCATTGGGGTGAGGGGGTCCCTCAGCCCAGCCTGAACTCTCTCCAATCCAGAACCCCTCAGGGGATGTCCTACTGCTTCTTGCAATCTAGGACTGCTGGCTCCTAACCGCTCACCTGCTCAATCTCCCCTAACCCTTATGCCTGCCTGCCTGATTGCCCTGCCTAACTACCTCTGCCTGCCTGATCACCCTAACTGCTCCCCTGCTGGCCTGATCATCCCTAACTGCCTCTGTCTCTCCCTGCACCTGAGACCCAGGATTCCCCCCTCTGGCTGGTGGCAGGCACCTGGGAACCGGGTTTCCCTTCCTCTGGCTGGCTGTCAACACCCAGGACCTGTGCCAGCTTTGCCCAGGCCAGCTGCAGCCACAGAGGACCGTGGGTAGGCAGCTTTGCCTGGTCTGCAGCCACAGGCACCTGGGACTGCAGGGTGGACAGCTTGTCCCTCTCCTGGGCTGCAGCCACAGGTGCTGGTGCCCAAGACCATGGGGCAGGCAGTTCGTCCCTCTCCCAGATGATAGCTGCATATGTAGCTGTTGGCACCTGGGACTGCAGGGTAGGTTGCTTGTTTCTCTCCCAGGCTGCAGGTGCAACCATTGGCACCCAGGATTGTCCCTCTCTCAGGCCACAGGCATAGCCATTGGTGCCCAGACCACAGGGCTGGTGGCTTATCCTTCTCTCAGACCACAGTCACAACTGCTGGTGCCTGGGACATGAGATGGGCGGCTTGTCGCTCTCCCAGGCCACAGGTGCAACCACTGGCACCCAGGACCATGGGGAACATGGGGCATGCCAATTGTTCCTTTCCCGTGCCACAAGCACAAACGCTGGCACCCGGGACCACAGGATGGGGGCCTTGTCTCTCTCCCAGGCCACAGTGGCAGGCACAGCATTTGGCACCCAGACCACAGGGCCAGCGGCTTGTCCTTCTCCCAGGCTGCAGTCACAGCTGCTGGTGCCTGGGATCACAGGGCATGCAGCTTGTTCCTCTCCCAGTTCACAGCCTGGCTGGTCTCCTGTGGGGAGCTGCCCTGAATGCAGGGGTCCTATATGCCTGAATGCAGGCATGGGTGTAGGACACAGCACTCCATGTGCCCCCCTTTTCCATTAACCTAAGTGGAAAATTACTACTACCCCTAGGAATGCTGCTAACTGCAGATGTCTTTGCTTTAGGGTAAAACAATTGATAGGAGCCTGCTGACCCAGAAGGAGCTGTAAAAGGAGTTGTAAAAGGTCAGGTGGTTGTAAAAGGTCAGGTGCTGAAGGAATTTATCTGTCCAGAAACTCATCATGTTAGCAGAAACAGACACCTGTATGATTGCCTGAAATAAATATTTCCTCCTTCAGAATTGTATTTAAAGGTTGGAAAAATAAAATTCGGGACTGCAGACTTCAGTCTCAGTCCTCCGGACCCCATCTTTCCTTGTCTTTCTTTTTTCTCATCCTCACCCCCTCAATCAGGTACTGTTCGTTGCCAGCAGGTTCTGGCAGTCTCCATTCCTCTTTCATGAGCTCATTTGTACCTGATTGGTCCCCATTCGTCTCTCACAAGCTCATTTGTGCCCAGATGATCCCCATTCCTTTCTCCCCAGTGTTGAATGTCTACATGAGGACATGATGACCATTGCATATTAGCTCTTTATTATATAGGATTCTTTTGGCTTCCTTCTTGCTTCCATATTGCCTTTTCTCCTCCTCCTCCTCCTCCTCCTCCTCCTCCTCCTCCTCCTCCTCTTCTTCTTCTTCTTCTTCTTCTTCTTCTTCTTCTTCTTCTTCTTCTTCTTCTTCTTCTTCTTCTTCTTCTTCCTCCCATCTGAGTCTTTGGTATTGTGTCTTTTAGTATTCTTTTTATTTTTTTTTCTTTTCTTTACTTTCTCTTCTTTTTCCTTCTTAGTCTTTCCTGTAATTGTTGCTTTGCATGGCTTGATTTTCATGGTATTTTTGGTATAGTCCTGTTCTGTCTTGCTCTGTTTTGTTAGCACCTGTATAGCAGCTGGCACAATAAGATTGTGGTTCAGCTTCACTGGCAGCAAATAAGAGGGGAGATCCCTCCCACAAAAGGGACATCAACATTCAAGTCCCAATTACAACAAGAGTCCAAACAATGCATTAGAGGAACTAATGTCAAGGGGAATTCCTAGAGCATCCAGATCAGGTGAACAAAAAGACTTCATCACTGGACTCCTCAAGACACTTTCTACATAAGGCCATCCTACAAATACTGGTAATCATAACAGTTCTAATACATAGAAGCAAAAAAAAAAAAAAAGGAGACAACTAAAATGGGGAGATGAAGAAACAACCCCCCAATAAAAGAAAAGGAGAAATCTCCAGGGGGGGGGAATCCTAAATAAAATGGAGGCAATCAACCTATCAGACAGAGAGTTTGAAGCAATGATTTTAAAGATGTTCAAGGAACTTAGTGCAAATTATAAGAATCTCAATGAGAACTACAACAGCATGAAAATGGAAATAGAAACTATGAACAAGAACCAGACAAAAATGGAGAATAACATATCTTACATCAAGAACACACTGGAAGGACTTAAAGGTAGATTGGATGAAGCAGAGGATCAAATCAGCAATTTGAAAGACAAGGTAGAAATAAATACCTAATTAGAACAGCAAATAGAAAAAAAGAGTTAAAAAGCAGGAAGATAACTTAAGAGAGCTCTCAACAACATGAAACGAAACAACATTCACGTTATAAGAATACCAGAAGGTGAAGAAAGTGAGCAAGAAACAGAGAATCTGAGATAGAAGGGAGGAATAAACCCAGCCCCACTGTTCTAGCCAGCCACACCATGCTGCTCATCAGTCTTCACAGACATAGAGGCCACTGTAGCAAGAGTTCCAGGGTCTCCCTTAATTTCTATAGTAACCTGGGTCCAGGGCCTCAGTGGTGCTCCTGATGTCCCTCACCCATCCCTGAATATTCCAGGTGGGCAAAGGAATCACAATAGTTCAGCTAATTTATTTTACTCTGATAATTGGCTGAATGTAGCAGGGAAACTAATCCTAAGCTTAACGGCTGGAACACCAGAGACCAGAACCACCACGATCCCTTGTCGGGCTGGCCCTGGCCCCAAGCAAGTGGTTAGGGGTGATCAGGCAGGCAGACAGACCAGCGGTTATGGGTGATCAGGTAGGCAGGTCAGCAGTTAAGGGTAATTAGGTAGGCAGATGCCCCTCACTTGTCCCCCAGCAAGCAGTTAGGGGTTATCAGGTAGGCAGACAAGTGGTTAGGGGTGATCAGGTAGGCAAACAGTACCTCACAGGGCTGGCCCTGCTCCCCAGCAAAGAAAGAGGGAGGCGTAGGCCAGCCAAGCCATCACACCCCACTCATGTTGCCTGCAGAGGGAAGCCACCGGTGGGGGGGGGGGGGACCATGCTGCACAGATGGCAAGCAGTGGAAGCATCAGGGGTGGGACCAGCTGCCTGCAGTTGTCAGGGTAAGGAAAGCTCTGATAGGCCCTGATCTCGGGCCAGGCCTAGGGAGTATAATCAAGGGGTCCCAGATTGTGAGAGGGTGCAGTCTGGGCTGAGGGAATCCCTCCCCCAAGTACATAAATTTTCATGCACTGGGCCACTAGTGTCTAATAACAAGATGAAAATTCTGAATGTCCAGACCAGGCTCACAGATGCCAAACACATTAACTGGAGAGCCATGCTGAACAACAGCTACCTCTACATCGAGATCCCAGATGGTGGTCTGCCAGAGGGGAGCAAAGACAGCATTGCAATTCTTCTCAAGTTTGCAGAGGAGCAGCTGCACGTTGCCGCACAAGAACCATGATGACAGAACCGCTCTGCTCAGTACCTTCAGCTGTATGGGCTTTGAGATTGTGAGACCAAGGCATCCCCCTTGTCCCCAAGAGACCCGATACTTGCTTCATTGCCAACACATTTGAGAAAGTCTTCTAAAGAGGACGAGCAGCAGCTGCACCACCTGCACTCTCACCTTTGCCACCCCTGAGAGATCATTGTAGGTAGTAGCCCTTTTGTGTGTCTCGCTTTGTGCTGGTGGTGTAACCAACTGCTGCACTGGGGTACAAATGCGAGGTCTGCTTCCCTCTTCTGGGTTTGTCTGCATGTTGTAATTATGCAAATAAATGCTCATTCCAAATTAGCAGTGTATTTCTTGAAGTTTTAATATTGTGTTTGTGATACTGAAGTGTTTGCTTTAATTCTAAATAAAAATTTATATTTTACTTTTTTATTGCTGGTTTAAGGTGATACAGATTATCCTTGTACTTCAAGCAGGAGTTTTCTTTTTTCTTTTTTTTTTTTTCATATATATATATATATATATATATATATATATATATATATATTTTTTTTTTTTTCCCCAAAAACTAAATTACATACATGTTATTTTCAAAACTTGAATGTCAAGAGCAAAACTCTGGCTATTAAATAATAACAACAATGCCAATGCAAAACAAGAAAATGAGAAATCAGAATTATGGACATATTAATATTTTTAGCTACTAAATGAGTCTCTTTTGTTGCTGGTGTAGATTTACTCAGAGTCCTTGGACTTGCTGCACAATACTTTGCAGAAGACTGGAAGCTAACAGATGCTAGCATGAGCAGGAACATGATTAAAGAAGTAGCTTCCACTTCAGTCTTTAATTTCTTCAGATGACTCCATGTTGGCCCCTCAGTCCCTTGCGTAGCCTTCAGTTTTCTTCTCCCACTTTGCTGTCGTCTGGGAAATTCTCAGTCCTTTTGGGTGAAGGACCACAGGAGCTTCTCTGAGTCCATTGTGTTGATGGACCTAACACTCTGGCACTCGAATTGGCTGCATTGCTCCTTCTTTCCTTTCATTTTGAACCCAGGGTTCTACCTCACAACACTCTGGGCCTGGCTGCTCCGGGCCTGGATGCTGCTGCTCTGGGCCTGGCTGCTCTGGGCCTGGCTGCTCATTGACCTCAGGCCCCGTGGGCCTGGTCCGCTCCTCCAGTCGCTGCCTCCCGGGCAGCACTCGCCGGCATGAGGGCAGGAGCTGGGGCAGCTCGGCTGCCCGCTGAGCCCCATCCTTCCCGCAGGCAGCCAGCTGGGGAGGCTGAGGTCGGTCGCAGCAGTGGCTCCACTTCATCACTGCGCCTGGACAGTCCCAGCCCCACACGTCCCAGCGTAAGTATATTATCTTTGTAATTACAGTGCTAGGCATATAATGGCCCTCAATAAACATTTGCTTGAGTGGCAAATGCAGGGAATCACCCCTTGAATTTAGGAGAGGGCCATAAAGGAGCTCCAAAATGCATATTTTTGGATAAAGTAACATTTCACATCAACGTCCACCCCATTTTCAAACACATGCACATTCAGGTGTGAAGCCTCTAGGACACACACATTCGTTTACCTTGGAGGGGAGCACCATCATCAAGCGCCTTCCTTTCAGCTCAGGAGTTTTTTTATTTGAAGTTTTGGAAAAAGTTTTATGTCTTAACTTGGAAAGATAGGCATTAATCTACCATTCTTTTGCTTTCAAAAAATCTGAATAAAAATGATTACATCTATTAAAAAGAAAGAAACAAAGAAACTGTATATAATTTTCTATCCACTATGCTGTACATTTGAAACTAATATAAAATATTATTTAATGTAAACTGATCTTTGTTTATAATAGTGTGTTTGTTCTTTTAGTTTGAGTTTCTGAGTGGCTGATTCATACCATAGCAGCCATATTTTCTACTACATGGCCTGGAGTGCAAAGTTATTTTGTAAAGAAAGAAGCGGTGATAAGACAGACACAGAACTGTCAGGTGAACTTAGAATTGGTTTCTGAGAACCTTCTAATTCCAAGATCCAGTCCTTCCTGAAGTCCAGTATCATTGCTGCCCTTAGGGTTTTTGAAACTGGTCTCATAATCAGATTCACTTTGATGTTCAGGAAACATGTTGATTTCTGATACTTGCAAACACAAAATCTTAAGTAAATAAACATGTTTGGGAAATTTCAATTATAGAACCTCCAAAACTGCCTCTATCTTTATATATTTGTGTGTGTATGTTTGTGAATGAATTTCTGTACTGTATAGATTTAGATTTTAACTGATTAAAAAATGGTATATAATATTAAGGTCCAAAGCTGCATACATAAGGGAGACTAAAACCAGGAAGAAAGCAAATATTACTTACACTTGGGAAGAACTTTAGCAGAAAATTATTTCAGTGATTTTTAACATGCTATTGTCAAAATATTCTGAGAAAAATTGTAGGAAACGCATCTCACAAGAATGTACTGTATAAAGCAACTGTTGTTTTGATGAAAATTATAGCTTGGGTACTTAAACCAAGTGCCTTTGATACACATGGTCTGAAATTGTCCTTTTTGATTTGGATTGGTCTTAAAATGTGTTTACAAAATAGTGCTATGGAACAAGACTGTTAAAATATTTTACCTTAAATTCAAAGATTCCCTAAGATTTTGTGGAAATCCATCTTTGTTTGGTATGAAAAATATTAGCAAAATATTAAAACATTTAAAATATTTCTACTGATAGGTAAGTATACAGAGCTTAAGGTATACTCTAAGTTCTATACCCTAAGAAGCTTATAATTTCAAAGTGAGAAATGGGCAATATACTAGAAAGTGGTTTCCTTTGATTGAGCTTATGCAATAGCAACGAAAAGATTTCCTCAGAACTTAAAACTGCTCTTTTAATCTTTATTATGACTGGAAAAAAGTTGTCTACAGGAAGTTTCATTTGTTTTCTAAATTTGGACTTGAAAATTTTGGACACAGATAACCTGAATCTTGAACATCATTTATCTTTCATATCCTTTGAAAATAATATTTGAGATGTTAATCCATTTTCAGCACATCCTGTTTTAAGAGAACACTGTATAAGACGATCTAGATTTATAAAACACAATATTTTAGAGGATGACTTGGCAATTACAGAGTGGTTCTTTGCTTTACCAAACAATTCAGACTTCTTTTAAGTTGGAGTTTCTAGGAGTTTCCAGGTGGTATATATCACTACAAACAATATTAACATCTAGAGAGAGATTGGTAAGGTACAGTAGAACCACTGCCAAATGAAGATCAAATTGAAAATAAAGCAATTCTAAAATGATTGTGGAAGTAAAGGAGAGGAGATGGATTGAAAGAAATCCTTTTTTAGCACAACTTTGCAGGAATACATCTGTAGCATAAAGTGCATTGCATTTAAAGTGAAGGTTATTTGGGAAGTGCAGTGGCCTCCTAAGAACAGAACCCATCCATCTAACAAATTACCCCCAAAGACTGTCAGATTTCCATTCAAAAAATGCCCCTTTATACTTGATTCATATTTTTTATTAGTTCTATATGGACACAATCTTAAAAATAAAACTTTTTAATTGAGGTAATATTTAATTATAACATTATATAATTTTATAAATATATAAAAAACAAGAGATTAAATAAAACATGATAAAATGATGCAAATAATAAACACAGTGAACATGAGATATATGAGTCTGCTGCTGGCTTAACATGGCATATGGTTTTACAGCACTTTTTCTTAGTAAAAAGAGTACACTATCCTACCCAATAAAAGAGTAATATGCAAATTAACCATCACTCCCCTAGACCCACAAGCCACACCCACCAGCCACACCCACCAGCCAATCAGAACAAGTATGCAAATAAACCCAACCAAGATGGCTACAGCCACAGAGAGCAGGAGGGAGGCTTGGGTTTCCCAGGCATCAGAAAAAGCCAAGCTTTCTGCCTGCCCTAGGCAACCTAAGCCTCCACTCTAGGCTACAAAGTTTCAATTATAGAAGGTAAACAAATCCAAACAGAAATGGCTGCTGGCCATGGAGCCAGCAGGAGGCTTGACTCTGCTCCAGGCTACAAAGTTTCAATTGTAGAAGTTAAATAAATTTCAGATACCAGGGCCTCTGCTTGAGTCACCAGGAAGCATGGCTGGCATGCAAATCACCATGCCTAGGCCACCCCATGCCAGTATTGGGTCTAAATGGGCAGTTGGACATCCCTTGAGGAGTCCCAGATTGGAGAGGGTGCAGGCTGGGCTGAGGGACACACACCCCCTCAGCCCTGTACATGAATTTCATGCACTAAGCCTCTAGTAAAATAATAAAAGGCATAGAATAGCAAATATATAAGTCGGTAACTTAGTCATTTACTATAATTATCAAATACATAATAGTATTGCTATGATTTTTTATGACTGACAGCACAGTAGGATTGCTTACACCAGCATTACCATGAACATGTGAATAATTCATTGTGCTATGACATTACCATGGCTATAGGAATTTTTCACCTCCATTATAAACTCATGGGACCTCTATCATATACATGGTCTGTTATTTACCAAAATGTCATTATGTGGTGCATGACTATATTTATGAGTGTGGTTTGGCTTCAGAGGAACATGGGTTTGAATCCTGGTTCCTCCACTTATTATTTGGTACTTTTGGTAAGTCATTTCAGCCTCTCTAGTTATCCATTCCTTTGTTTATTAAATGGGAATGATGATAGAACCTAGTCTATGAAATTTTTGTCAGAATGCCTATGAGAAAATCCATGTGAAACATTTAACAAGGTGTGTGACACTCAATACTAGTAAAAGACAGCATTACTTTCCTAACATGTTGTAGGTGTGATTGAGTGTACTTTGGAGCTCATTATACAAAGAATCAATAAACATGAGTTTTGCAAGAAATTGTACACTTGAAACCTATATAACCTTACTAACCAATTTCACTCTAATATATTTAATAAGAAGAATGATATAGATTCAATCCTAAGAGAAACCACATAGCATAATTTCCAAGTTACACTTTATCAAGTAAATTGTTTTTTAATACCTCAAATTTAGTCATGAGGCACAGGAAATTCAGGAGACGTGAAATTTACGCTTTTGTTGTTGAAAAAGCATTTGTTATGGATTCCAATACTATCTTTATTTACAGGCTTTGGCTCATATTCTAATAGCGATCAGTGAATCACAGCTGAAATGGAAACTTCATGGAAATACTGTAAATCTCTAAGGTATTAGGACTTGACAAGGAAGATCCAAACAGATGCAGAGGCTTATTACACAGGAGGTCTGATCAAAGGGAACTCAAATAGTACTGCTTGTGCCAAAACTTGAATAGACAATAAATATTTATAACAATTATATTTGTGGTAAGAGAATCTACTTGGATGCATAACAAAAATGTACTATATATTTAAATAAATTTTGGGGGGGGGGAAAGTCCTTGACTTGTTTTTCTTTTTATGTTGCAGTACAAGCATACAGAACATTTTGCAGATATTTTCTATAAAAACCTCAACTTCTGGATAGAAATCTCCTTGAAAAATATCTCAATTTAATCACAGTGATGGGAACTCTTTCCCTACTGCTCCTTCATATATCCGAATGCCTGTCTCAATGAGCGATATATACTACTAAAAGATTATGAATGCTTCTACAGCAATAAAAATGATTTCTTATAAAGAATATTAAAATAATTCAGATGTATACGTATGCAAGGTATTTGAGAAAGTGCCTAGAATGTAGTAAGCACAGTGTTTGTTAAATAAATGAAATAGGCATTTAATGTCATTGGAAAAATCTAAAACAAACAAAATACATAAATAGCATGTATAGCATCATTCCATTTGTATAAAGAGAGAAGTCTAAGTGTATGTGTATATGTATCTGCAATCTCTATAAGAGTGCACACAAAATGGAAGCAATCATTATCTTTGAATTATATGATTTTATAAATAATAGATTTTTCCTTTATGCATTAAATATTTTTCTACATTTTTGAGATATTCATTCACCACCACTCTAATATTATCCTTCTATGCATATGAAACTGTTGTATGCTGTGTTCTTTAAAATATTTTTCTATGCAAATACACATAGACATGCTTGGTATAGGGGTATAAAAGCTTTCTAAATTGGGTTATATAACTGGCTTTTCTCACAAAGAATATATCTTAGACATCATAAAATAGTAGTACATAAAAAGTTTTCTTCCTTCTTTTCCCCCTTTTTATTGAATTTATTGGGCTGACCATAGTTAAAAAATTATACAGGTTTCAGGTATATATATCCCTATATTCATTGCAGCATTATTTATAATAGCCAAGATTTGGAAACAACCCTTTTGTTCATCAGTAGATGAGAGGACAAAAACAAAAACAAAAACAAAAAAAACAACTGGTAGCCCTGGTTTGTTGAAGCATTGTCCCATACACCAAAAGGTTGCAGGTTTGATTTCTGGTCAGGGTACATATCTGGCTTGCAGGTTTGATCCCTGAGTGGGGGCAACCAATTGATTTCTTTTTCTTTCTCCCTCTCTCTGTAAAAATCAATAAAAAGCATATCACTCAGTGAGGATTTAAAAAGAAAACAAACTCTGGTACATTTACACAATGGAATACTACGCGGTGGTAAAAAAAAAAAAAAAAAAAAAAAAAAAAAAAAAAAAAAAGGATCTTTTATCCTTTGACATAGTATGGATGGACCTGGAGATTATTATGCTAAGTAAAATAAGCCAGTCAG